AATTTGGGGTCTTAATTTGAAAATATAAACCCTACTAAAATCCACCTATACTCTTTTATTATAAACACTAACCCTAACTTCTAATCGAACTATGAAAAAAAGCCGAACAAACACCCCCAAAAATTTTTTAATTTTTCATAATAAAATAAGTCAAAATTTCAGCATCATCCCCGACAATAATTATGAAATCAAAGCATAGAGTGGCTTTTTGGTGTTTAAACAATTTTTCTAGGTTTAAAGACATTTAGATACATTCATGTCTTGATAAAACAAGATAACTTCGGTAGTAAACACACGTCGTCATAAATATTTACTTTGCGAATTATATAATTTTAGAAATATAAATTGCTGTATAAAAAAATCATTCATAATAAAAATATTGTTGCCAAGAAGGTTCAAGATTGCATGGCACACTTTTTATGATAGAAAATACCGTTGCTACGCGATTATCTTGAGTGCATAAAGATCCTTGTTTTTTTTTTTAACTCGATAAAGGCGAAGATAGTTCAAACACATAATTACTCTTAAATTGCAATCCACGCGTAACAAATGCCTTTTGGATAAACAGATTAATGTTAATCGCAGTACTTTATTTCACCGTCTTGATATCTAGTATACGTTAATATTTGACTTTCCATCTTGGCAAAAAGCAAAAAAAATATGCGCATCTTGGCGATGTATGTACGTACGTACGTGACACCTATTCTAATTTAATCATTAACGGTGTCACTTCATCGATCAGGCAAGAACTCATTATCATATCAGCTTTGATTTTTAGTATCTGACTTCATCTTGGCAATAAACAAATTAATGGAGAAAAAATTGCGCACCTTGGCAACTTTATTTTATAAATGCAACTAACGCTCTCAAATAACACTCACATCATAATAAATACTATTCTATATCACGATGATATCCAATCTTCCGGTCGAAATACTCCTTCAAATATTTCAGGCAATTTATTATTCCAAACCTAAAAGTCGTCCTTATGAACAATATCAAACTCTTCGTTCATGTTTATTGGTAAATAGATTTTGGTGTGTAAACGTCATTTCAATCCTTTGGTCAAGAGTCTTTTCCCCAGATTCTCTGGTTCGTTTAGGAGCAATAAGCAAATATATTTCTTGTTTGAACCCTGAGAAATATCAGCATCTTTTAGATGCCGGTATGAAATTTCAAAAACATTCAGAACGTCATTTATTTGATTATCCATCATTCTTAAAAGAGTTACAATTCGATATATTTTTAAAAGATTTGTCTGTTTGGTGTATTGAACATGGAGGCTATCGTTGCCGTAATCTTAAATTCCATAATCTCGTGTTAAAAACCTTATTAGAATTATTCTCTGAAAGAGGTGCCAAATTAGAAGTTTTTTATATGAAAAAAGTATATAGCAGCGCGTTTCCTTCATATCACACAGAATTAAAACATCTGGATTTTAGTGTGTTAACATCTGTTAACGTTAAAGAAATGTTTGTGAATTGCAAAAAAATGAGGTTAGAAGGAGATGTACTAGCGCTTGATAATCTTATGAACATTTTTACAACAATTTGTAATAATATCGAACATTTAACACTCGATTCTCCGAATATAGAACCCAAAATTTTACAAAATGGAACTTTTAACTTTTTGGATCCAAAATCAGATTCATTTTTATCTAATGAAATAGATAGAAAGGAAGTTCTTTCCAAAATTTTATCAAAATGTAATCGACCTAGTGCAATTGCCAGTTTAATTGTTTCTCAACGCAAACTTAAAACTTTGGTTCTAATTAATCAGTTCTCAATGTATTATACGCCTTTTCATCACACAATCCAGCTTGTATAAAAAAGATTACCATGTAAATTTTTTCGGGGCTTATTTCATAATTAGTTGAACTTTACTATCGAGAAAAAAAACGTATATCTGATTTAATAATTCGAAGTGATTATTGTTCTTTTTTTTTTAAAACAAAACTTCATGTAATTGTAGCAATGCCAACTTTTCTTTTCTTCCTACACCTATACAAACATATAACCGTGATAAAAACAATAACAATAACGACTACAAGTCCAATAAAGCTCAGAATCAAAATAGATGCCACATTTGGAGAAGGGAAGTCTGGCCATGCGATGGTGTTAACATCTGGAGGTGTAAATGTTGTTAACCAAGTGAAATTTGTGACATTTAATATGTAAATGTTTAAATCAAATCTATCCAGTTGTCGCGATTCAGTTGTATTTTCTTAAAAAAAATGAATAAAATTTAGATGCGTACCATGTGTACGATTCCTCAAGAAACAGATATCTCGGAGATTACTTACCTAATGCTACCACCATTAAATCTTCAACTAATATAGCAGTATGTGAGTATAATATCGGAGGTTTATTCCCAGTAACCATCAGTTGGACCCATGTAAAGACTTTTTCGCTTGTAAGAATGGCAAGTGATGGTGTCGGCGAAATTGAATCCTGTCGAATTCCTCCACAGATGATGATTTTAGCACCTTTATTTACTAAGAAAATGGTTTAGATGTTTATTATATAAATGAGTTAATTTACTTATTCTTTGATTTCAATTCGTATAAATTTACCCAACACTGCTGAATGTTCCGAACGGCTGCTCGGGACAGAACCATTTGCGATCTAAACCATACTAAACCATATCAATAAAACTTTATTTATTGCTTTGTGAATAAACATTATGATATATTATGACAATTATAAACCTACGGATAAATTCCAACTTGAAGTATTCGTATCATAGATTGAAATCTATTTTTTGAATCATAAAAATTGAATTTAAAATATGCGTTTACAGAAAAATCACGGATCAAAACTTGCTTAAAACTTGCCTGGTCCATTGGCACATAATTGAAACTACTATCCAAACCACCAATATACAATATTCTTCCGTCATTCAGTAAAGTGGCTGTATGACCTGACCTCGATATTGGAGCGTTTATATAAATTGACCATGATAATTTAACAGTATCTAAAACAATCGTATCATTAAACCAAGTGAATGAATCGTTCTTGATTCTATATCCACCAAATATAAATATTTGTCCTAAAGAGTTTGTGACTGAACTCGTTCCAATTCTTCTCAGTTCTGGCAAATTTCCAGTAATTATGGAATTGATGTTGTTAAAGTTTTTAATGTCAATAGCGTATACGCTACTGTGATCGTTGTCCCCACCAAATAGAAATATCGTTGTATTATTAGGACCACCAACAGATGAGATCGACCAGCTTTCATTCGGAAATTTCGTTGGTAGGTTTTTAAGCGGTGGATTTATAATATCAAATGGGCGTGAGATGTCAAGACTAAAGAATTTTGTGAAATTATTACTCCCAAGAAAATATATATATTTTTCAAACAGGCTCGCTGTATACTTAAATGAAGAAAGAAATATCATAATGAAAAATTCATAATAATATAAGAAATGAGATGATATACCATTATTTATTAATGTTAAAAAATTTTTTATCCAACTAAAGAAATGAAATGTTAAGTTGATCAAAAACCTTATATCGTTATTTTTTTGCGGGACCAGAATTCAAAAATAGACAAACAGATCTAAATTTACCCGTTATCGTTACCTTGGAAATGTTACAGTTGACTTAGTGTAACGTTCAACAAATGCATAAAAATTCGCCATTATAATAACCAAAAAGAATACGCCAAGAAAAAAAACCAGTCTTCGTGCTTTCTTTTTTTGTCGGGGATGATGCTGAGAATGGATGATGCTGAGAAATTGGGGTCTCAAATTAAGAATATAAACTCTACATATACTCTTTTTTTATAAACTCTAAAAAAAAAAGATAAAAAAAAAAATAGCCCAAAAATTTTTAAAGTTTTAGATTAAAGTAATTTAAGTTCTCAGCATCATCAATTCTCAGCATGTCTCTGATCAGGGCTGAGACTGGCAAATAATAAATAATAACTTGATCTAGTATACCCTTGGTGCCACTCATATGTTTACGACCCATTGTTGTTCACTTTTGATGTCCAAAACCTTTTTGGCATATCCATTCCAATGTTCCCTTTCAATTTCCGTCCAAATGTCCAAGAGTGTTTAAAGCATATTCAAACTTAAATCGACAGATAATTTGAGTAATTTTTCTAAATGTTCAGACCACGTGATTTATCGATCGGGTTATCGTATTTTTAATTTTTAATTTTTTTATTTTTTTTCTCTGAATGTTCAGGCCATGTGATTTGTCGATCTACATCGTGAGTAATTTTTAATTCTGAATGAATTTTTAATTTTTCAATTTTTAATTCTCTGAATGTTCAGACCACGTGATTTGTCGATCTGCTTCGTGAGTAATTTTTAATTTTGTTCAGACCACGTGATTTATCGATCGTTTTTGTTCTTCTGTAGGAAAAAATTAGGAATGCCCATAGGGGCATGCCTTGTGCTGAGACATGCCCGGGCATGCCCTTTCTAAATCATGTGACTGCCATATAGTTCGCGAGTTCGCAACATTCTAAAAATTTCATATGGGGTGTTAGTAGTGCTCCGATCGGGTCAACCCGAACAACCCGAAACTAACCCGATAATAATAGATTTACTATATGGGTCATGACCCACCTAATAGATTTAATATAACCGGGTTGGTTTCGGGTTGTTCGGGTCAACCCGATCGGAGCACTAGGTGTTAGTCAAATTGTTTCTAAGTAAATTTTTTTAAAACATTAAAATATCTAAACAACTATTAAACCAACCTTGATAAAAATTTTTTTATTTTAATCTACATAGTTATAGAATTAAAATAAAAAAATTTTATCAAAAAATTTGGTTTAATAGTTGTTGAGATAAAAATTTAAAAACTTACTAAAAACAATTTGCTTGGTTTCCTCATACAGTCATATGTTGATTTAGTATTTAACCTTATTAACCAATCAAAGGATGCTTTATACATGACAAGAGCATACCCTTCGGTCTTGAGGCATGCCTCGTTATCGCCATACATTTATGTAAGTACGTACGTACGTACTATAGATGCTGGTGAAACTAAATAAAGCTGGTAAACTGGTGACTGTCTAAAAAATCTGATTGGCTGTTATATTAAATTTCACCAGTTTCACCACCAAGAGTTTCACCAGTTTCACCAGCATCTAGAGTTACGTACGTACGTACGTACGTAACTTCGTTTTGGTTCAACGTATCATATTTATCCGTCAGATTACTACGTATGATCTGGCTGCTAAATAACGAGTTATTTGGCAAAAAAAAGTTTATTTTGGTTATTTGGCAAAAATTTAGTTTATTTTGGTTATTTGGCAGAAATTGATTATTTTGGTTGTTCGGCAGAAATTGATGGTTTATTTTGGTTATTCGGCAAAATTTGATACGTACTTACGTAAGTAGCTTATTTAATTCTATCAAGTTACTTGTTTTGTAAATTTCTAATAGTAAGAGGTTTCAGAATTAACGTGCGGGAATCTAACTTTGATAGAAATAGATAACGTATAATTTTCAAATGAGCGATGTATCGACTTTATTTCATTTTCCGATAAATTTGTAATGATGATTTTTGTCATTGAAAAGTTAATTTATTTCGTTAAATGGGAGTCTCTAAACGCTCCCATTTCATCTTCCGATTTCAAAATTTTGATACATAAATAAAATTTTTTTAAACTCCACTTATTCCCGAAATACGCCCACATTCTTTAGATAATCGAAGCATGTACAGTAGATTTCCACATTTTAAATTCTCTTAATAGGGCGAAGCACTTGAAGCAGTTTTTTACAATTGGATAAGTCGAAACAACTTAGTGAAGTTCCTTTTTGTATTGTTTTGTAATAAAACTTTTACACTATTGCTAGTAAACCTAGCATCGCCCAAAAAAAAATACAGCTGACTCACTTGTAAATAAAATATATATTGTATACAATATATGATTGTAATTGTAAATTAAGAATCATGTGATACTGTATATACAAAATACTATATGTACAATTGAAGGTATGATGGGCAGTGCTAGGCTGTTCACTATTGCTTGTTTACATGATTCTATTTTTATACATATTTATTTATCGTTATACAAATCAAATTTTGAATTTGAATCAAATATTTGAAATTATTTGATCAAATTAATTAAAAATTTGATCAAATAAATTCAAATATTTGATTCAAATTCAAAATTTGATCAAATAATTTCTTGTTATCTGGCATGATGTGACGGATACATGGGTATTCGGCAGGATGATAGCAACGCACGTGGCCGAAGGCCACGTGCTTTTGCTATCATCCTGTCGAATACCCATGTATCCATCACATCATGCCAGATAACTAGTTTATCCGGTAGGTATGACGTA